CCTTTAAAAAAAAAAAAAAAAAAAAAAAAAAAACGGGCAGAGTGTTGCAACATTCCTGTCGGTCGAATAATTTTCAAGCCGGCAAAGGTGTAAGGTTCCCCGGGCGCCGCGTAAAAAGTTAGCGTCGCGGCGTAAAAGTTCTGGCCGAAAGTGCACCGGTAAAAAGACTGCGAAAGGAGAAAATACGGCCGTTACCGGACGAGTATCAAGAACTGTCGTTCGCCTCGCGAGTCGTTAAGGTGTCTCTCACTCTCGAAAGATCGAAAAGAAAAAGACAAACTACGAAAAGAAAGTGTGCTAAAATCGAGCTAAACTCATCTCTCGATATGAACGAATTGTCCACCGTTCTAATTTCACGAATATCAACGCTGCGAATTTTCGTTTCAACGTTCCGGTCTCTCCCGGCGAAGAAGAGGTCAAGATAAACGAGAAGGCGAAAGACAAAGAAATAAGATACTGGGTCAGGAGAAACTGGCATGGTAGAAAGGCTCGTAATTATTATTATTATCATTATCATCACAGCTGCAAGAGAGAATGGTTCTTCCACGTTTTCTTTCTCCCTTCTTTTTTGTCGCACCTGGCAGAAGACAAACCGAGGGGCTCGTTTTGTTCTCCTTTTCGCCTCGTTCATTAGCCTGACGTGCGTCCTGTCCGTCGTTAGGTTAACGCGACGCGCTAGTCCTCGGTTTCCATAGAAGAACCGCGATATCGATGAGAAAATTTAATTACGCCCGAAGTGGGGAAAAAATTAGCTTCGTTTCATAAATATGTATTTGCCCCGGAGAAAAAAGGCGGTTCTAATTAACGAGCTCTTTGTTAGGAAGGAACCGCTCGTTCATTAAGAGAAGAAAAATCGAGGATAAACGACGGTGCTTGACGATCGCGCTCAGTTTCAACGTGTAACCTGGCCTTTGTGTAATTGTTCTTTTTCGGGGCAAATTGCGGGAAAATATCTGCTCCGGTAAATTCCCGAAATTGCTCAACGCGGTGATCTTTCTTCTCCCCTCTGTTAGAGCTTGCGTTGATCTTTCGTGCCGACTAATGTACCAAGGCTACGAAGGACCAGTTTCTTGGTTGAAACGCTAAGTTTTACTTGCGCAGTCTATGTTCTGACTTGTTTCGAGGTCTGGAGTCCATTCTGCCGGAGTCTCCGCGGTTTCCCTCGACGGAGACTCCCATTTTTCCTTTTCCAAAATCATCGATCAGTTTAATCCCTCCATTTCGCCCTTAGCGCGTTATCTTAGGGTGGGGATGCGTGGGAATCAAGTGGCCCATCTACGTCTCGGAGACTCCAGGACTTATGGCAGGGTCTGGGACCTAGGGACTAAGTGTCGCAGGCAACGCGATAAACACTTGTAGTGTTTTGAGGAAACGATATTTGCCTGCGACGGCGACCACTTGACTCGCTGCCATAAATCCGGCTACAGGATACGCCTCAACACCCTCCCTTTAATTTCACTCGCATTGCTCGCCGGGCAATGTAATTAAGCTGAAATCGAAATGTAATCGTAGAAAATAATTATCAACCCCCGCGAGCTGCAACGACGAAAAGTAGAGAGAAACGCATTACGGGAATGAACATCGATTCTATTTATATTGTACATTCGAGAAACGGGGAAACAATTAACAGGGATACTTTCCCCGCCGAACTTCGTAGACATTTTCGAAATTCTGATTGTTTAACTTGTCGTCCGTGCCCAGGAGGAAAAAGTTACGACGGCAGCCAGGTTTAATTCTCCGTCCCTTAACTACCAACGGTGAACCAACGGTTTCGTCCGACCGGAGACGGTGTCTCTCCACTTCTTCCAAACTTTCCTCGATTCGCAAGGGTAAAGAGATTGTACTTTTCCGTGTTCAAACATCAAATATTATTAAAATACGTTCTCCGGGTCGGCGGTGTTCCCGGTGGAACAGTGTAGCACGGTGGAAGCGGTCGAAAAAATATTTCCACAGGGATTACAGCGGGTATAGAGAGAAAGAGCGAGCGAGAGAGAGAGAGAGAGAGAAAAAAGAACCGTAAAAATGCGAATAAAATCAATCATTCGAGAATGAGATAATGTGACCAATAACGAATGAGGTGTAACGTCTGATGTTTAGTTTCATCGCTTTTTATTCATTACCTTTGATTATATTATTGCTTGTAATAATTCATTCGGGATACCTTGAATACAAAAAGTAATAAACAATGTTAGCCCGTCTTTTGTCTTTCTTGTCCGCCCCGGTCATTTCCTTAATTTGTCCCTTCACTTCGCGAACAGAAGTATGCTAGGTTTAATAGAATGTGTTAAATGTGACATGTGCAGAACATAGTGTAGCTTTTAACCATTTTGGGGTTATGAAAGTCTATTAAAAAATGCCTTAAACCCTCAAGCAATGAAAACAGATTTTAACGTTACTGTAGTACTATACATGTATTATTAAGTAAAGAAGATATGAGCCGATAGGCAAAATTTCTAAAATTTATTATTGTTTATATTATT